ATATTCTGTATGTAGTTCAGAAGTTGGTAATATCGCTACTATTTTCTATGAGGTGACATATACTCAATATTATCATCCTAACTTTCCACTGTTCTTTTTAATCATTCTATGATTTATTTATAGTACTCATTTAATATACTCCAGACAAGTGTTATTGCCTCTTATACACAACAAACCACTTTACAATATTACATAAAATTTATTGATTTTCTCTGCTTATTAAATGGAAGCTCTTGATTTAATTTTATAACAAGGGGAGCCTATTCAAAGCTTAAATTAGTATTAAGTATGTATAGAACTGAAAATTAGATGCTTGGAAATTGGGTTTGGAAGAAATTAATGTAACATAATAAAATATGTATGGTAGCTATAAAAAAGAGATGATACTGTGTTTCAAATTTCATTAAGTAAAATAGATTTACACTGCCATAGTAGTAAAAAAATTGTTGATATGGAGTATCGGATATATTCTAAATAGGGTCATATTTAAGACAGATTTACAGAAGGCCATGAATAAGATGGATCGTGGAGAGAAGGTAGCCAAAACCAAATACGATAATCTACCATGCTATTTCGAATGCATTCTGGATATCCCTGGCTGCAACTTAGATTATTTAAAATTGATTCTAAGGCAGAATTTTACGATTATGAACTACTTCATTCACAATTAAGCATCTTCAGTGGGAGATGTATGATGCAACAGCTAAATATTATTTTCTGTATCTACCATTAAAGCCCTTACACTCAAAATTGAGTACAATCATGCAAACCATTTTGAAGCTCTTAAAAATCATTAATTTTTGATAATTTTCCATGTCCATTAATAAAGCTTGTAAGCTTCAGATAATGCAGGGATAATCTTTAAGACTTGTTTCTTCAAAGCGAGTCTGCTCTCGGATTGATCACATTATATTAATAACTGATTTATACACAAGAACAATTATCTGAAATGTCCTGTCATATCTTTGATGTACATCCCTTTCAATTAGACTTCGTTATCTGAATATTTAATTTGATAAGGGATGTTGTAATCTGCAATCAATATATGGTAATGTTTGTATGTTAGCAAGTGTTGTTCAAGGGCTTTAGTGTAAATGAAATTGTTCCAAATTTATTTTTTTGGCGAATATTTTTATTTCAGATAACCAGGATTGCTATATATTTGAAAACTTATCTATTCACAATAAAATCATGATTTATTTGTCATTTCATGTTGGAAAAGGGCCTATATCATGGCAAAAAATTAATTCACCAAACTTCAGGGTGTAATTTGTAGTAGCCTAAAAAAATTAATTTCATTTGGAATAGTAATTATTTGCTGTAAACAGATTCGGGTGAAGTATTAACGGTCAAGCAAGTCTCCTCTCATGGATGTAACAAAATTATTTAAATATATGTTAAATAAGAGATTCCAGGATTCCAGTCAATCCAAATTATATATCTTCCTATCTTTGGAGCATTGATGCAAAAAATTCAAGTATTATTAATGCTTATATTGACTTTAATAATTGAATTTGATTATATTGATAAACTTCACGTATCCCTTGACAATCCCACCATTATATATATACTGTAAACCTCCTACATTATATTTGGAGATTCGTGTTATAAATAGCCAGCCCTATGGTATTTAATAATGCTTATTGCTCATACAGTAAACTAGTAATATTCTTAAATCTGTGACCAATGTAATAAAATGGTTAATATTGTTGATAGCGGCAATGTGTTTATGCCTTGTGGGAATTGTCAACATTAGGTTGTGCTTTATTGATATCTCTCATATGAAACACACCTGTCTGATATTTGTTTATATTATTAATCATAAATGCATATTGGAAATGGGGCTATCACTATCAGTCGTGAAGATGGGACGTTCAAAATGAATCATCTTTAATATCCTAAAACAGTAGTTCTCAAACTTTTTAAGCTGCGCCCCTTCTTTAGAATTTGTCGAGCCCCACCTTAAACTAGCTAACAATAAGCTACAAATAACAAATAGTGAGGCGATAGAATGTTGTATTCAAAAAACATGTTGAAAATAAGGGATGGAACGTAAATAATGAAGTAAATGTAAATATCCAAAATAATGCGGACAAGATCAAATCTAACAAATATTTTTATTTTTTTTTTATTAGCCTCACGCCCCTCAAAAAATTGTCTATACCCCCTTTGTGGGGCACGCCCTACTGTTTGAGAACCACTGTTCTAAAGCCTTAATTTTAGAAATAATCCAAAATAGCCTTATTTGAAAATTTGTTTATCTTCATTAGTTTAGCAGTATGACCAGAAAGGCTTTTTGAATATTATAGAATTTTTTTATGGTCTTTCAAAAATCGTCTTTATTATGAACATCATCGTGAAATACAGCAGCTATATTCTTTATTAGCAATCCTCATAGTTTTTGTAATCTTACTTATCACTACTTGTATGGAATGTTGGACCTGTCATGCTATACAATTATCACTATATTGAGGAGCAAACCTAACATTTTGATTGTACAGGATGTCCCAAAATAAATGAAACACATTAATTCGATAACCAATTTTGTGGGTTTCATTCATTTCGGGGTACACTGCATTTGGATTAGGCACTTGGCAGAACTTGGAGCATTCTAATATTTTGAACATATAGTTTCAAGGACTCGTGATGTATAGAATAACTTTGCTCAGCTATAAGTCCCTCTTATTACTGAGTGAGTGAAAAAGAAAAACATAATCATATCTTATTAGTATGGACTAGTTGTACAAAATAAAAAATAATTTGGCCCTTGCATCAGATATGATAATGATTGACAGATGTCAATTGTGCATTAATTGACACCATGAGGTGTTGATATATAAGTCAATAAATCAATCATACAGTGTAGATTGAGTGCTAGCAATCTTATTTCTTTCAATTTCAACACTTAATTTACCTTGACGCATTACGCTTTGATCAGTAGATGTATTTTTCCATTCTTCATAAAATCTGTCATTTATGGTATTGTGGGATATATTTTATTTTTTAATGCACTTTCTTTCTTAGAGGCCTTAAACAAGTTTTACATTACTATGCATGCTTTAAGATATATTTTCCCCGGGCTGCCTGGTTTACTTGAACTTGGATTTGTACATCACTAGACTAGACTAACCAGTGTTTGGCTCTGTGACTAGATCCCTGAATTCCATGTTTATTGTAATTTGATATAAATAAGAAAACAAGAATACTGCTCAAATTCATAGACATAGAAACCAGTACAGAAACTTAGTGTTCATAAACTCTGATTACAATTTCCATTTCTGACAGTTCTACATATATCTTAATTAACCAGGTTTGTTTTATTTTTATTCATGTTTATTTAAGTTTTTTACTTTATTTAATACGATTGCAGGATCCAACAAACCATATATGTTATTGATAAATTCTCTTTGTAATTTTCAAAAATTTTCAAGACTTAAAAACTTTGATTAATTACATTATTGTTGGCCTTGCTTGTCGTGAAGTTTTGAAAGGACCACTAAAAAACGGCCCGGTAATGAGAGATTAAAACTTTGTCTTGTTACAATATCAATTTCTAAAACAATTCATACAGCATGTTTAGACTTATGTCAAATTATCTGAATTTAGCTGCTACGTGTTTGCTGAAATACTTTTTACAATTCAGAATAATAATACAAGGTGTTCATAAACCCCCATTACAACTTCCATTTCTGTCAGTTCTTCATCATATATCTTAACCAGGTTTGTTTTATTTTGATCAATGTTTATTCAGGTTTTTTACTTCATTTAATACGTTTGTAGGAGCTAACAAACTATATCTTGTATCAATAAATCCTCTTTGCAATTTTCAAGACTTTAAAAATTTACACTTCACTGATTATGGATGTCCTTGCTCTTCGTGAAGTTTTGAAAGGACCACTAAAAAATTGGCCCGGTAATGGGAGATTGAAACTTTTCTTGTTGCAATATCAATTTCTAAAACAATCCATACAGGTTCAAACTTATGTCAAATTATCTGAAATACTGAAATACTCTTTTTACAATTCAGAATAATAATGTATTTGGTAGCCAATTTCATAATTGTTTTCTATTCAAGTATTTGTCCAGCATTATCAATCACTTGTCCACTACTTATTATTTATAAACTTTGTTGATTCCAACCGGAGCTGACATGAATAATGTAAAGATATTGATTATATTAGATATTGAGGTTAACTCATAATTTCCTTTACAGAATAAAAAGGAATGATAGCTTTAATATAAATTATTTAAATACATAATTGAAAAAGTTTTTAAGGTTTTAATTCTTCATAAATTTATTATGAAATAATGTACAAATGATTCACTATTATTTTTCTTGATCATTTTCGGCACATTCTTGGGCCTTGGCCATTTATGGAATCTCGTGATAATCAAATTAAGATATTTTGAACACATTCCGTAACATTTGCCAAAGTACGACACTATGAAATGTCCAAGGATGTCCAGAACGAATCGGTTATTTGAAAGACTCAAAATATATAATGTAATTTAAAATATTGATCCTAGGAATAATATGGAATAGGTATATCGTATATTTGAAAATTCACATTCCGAGCAACCCTAGCCTCACAAAAACACAAAACCATTCGCCAATAACCTGGTGTTTAATTTTGTTTTTTAAAATTCTGATTTTTACATTTTACTCGATGGAAATAATAAACTTGATTATGACTATTCAAATCTTTGTATATTTTAACATTGGTACTCCCAAAGTATGTGGACCAAGATGGCAGACACCAGAACGTAGTATGTGTACCATGTTAGGGTTGGGCCATAATTTTAGGTATACTACAGGAGTCACTTGGCTAGTTCCCGAACTCGTAATAGAACAAAAATATTGAAAATTGGAATAAAATTATGGTCTAACCTGGTAAACATACTACGTTCCAGTGTCCGCCATATTGGTTCACATAATTCGGGAGTATCTTATTAACATTTTATGTTTATGATTATCCTTATTCAAAATTTTTTTATTTCAGTATGCCGTTGAGCAAGGTGGACAGACATTATTACCACAATATCTTGGAATGTACAGATTGACATTAAACAATGTTGAACACTACGTACTGGTGACAAGGAATGTTATGAGCAACACATTGAAGACACATAAGAAATATGATTTGAAGGTAAAATTGGTTATTGCCAATTTTTTTCAAAATCTTTCTTTTTTTAGATCAGTTGGGATATTTTGTGAATTTAAATTTTGGAACATTTTTCTGAAGACTTTTCGCATTTTATTTTCATTAAGAAGAGGAATTTGTACTAGAATCCGCTGATAGAAAAAAGATGCCATTTTTGAGAGGAATAACAAGATGGGTCACATGCTTCTCAGTCCTGATCCAGGTTTTCATCCTGTCTGTAAGCAGAATCTGAGCATTAGTGGTTTTAATTAATTCAGTTCTCTCATAGTGTGTGTATCTGGTTAGGGTTGGGGTTATAATTTTATTCCGATTTTCTTTATTTTAGTTCTATCACAAGTTCAGGACTGTCTGTGTTAGCCAAGTGAATATACCCCTTGCCAAAAGATTTCAGTCCCTTTACACAACTTGATGTATGGTAGGCAAACAAAATTAGTTACTTCCATATTGGTACACACTACACACACTTCTGGATTGCCGATGGTACTTTATGTTGCAATTTACTAGATGCTTAGCTGTCTGCTTCAAAAAGAGGTTGAACTTCTTATTAAATGTTTGATGTCCCAATATTTATTTTGGTAAATTTTATGATTGTCTGGCTAATGCTATTATGTCGTAAAGTATGGTTTTGTTACACAATGACTCATTCATTGTTACCGATAAAATGAGACTTTGTATCTCGTTACTGTAAAAATATATGGCTTTTGTCTCCTATTACACCAGATGTTCTCAAACTTATTTAAACACATGACACATTTACCTTCAAAATACGAATCACTTTGCATTAAAAAGGAAATTTCACTTTGTCAACATCATACATTGCAAGCAAAAGATTTGTAATATATGCAAATATAAACAACCCGATACTTGGACTGGTTTTTGTGGCCATATGTGAATGTCAGTAGTAATTTGCTCTTATAATTGATTTTTACAGATCAGGGTGGTGCTATAACAAAGCAGTTAAAAAGCGCTAGCTTATACATCTCAGTTGAGATCCCTCAACCAGAGTGTAATAAATTGAGTAGGCGATGCTGAACCTTCTTCTAAGAAATTCTATTCATTCCGAATAAAAGTAATTTCTTATATAACATGAGATATCGTTGGCATTTATCGTTGGTGAAAGGCCTCGTTCAGAGCGAAATGTGTGAATAAGCACCATATACAAACAATTTTGCTTAGGTATTTTATATCAACACAGGCATTAATTTTTACAAAATTAAATAGAAATATAGCTTTATATCAATTATTTGAATTCCTGATTGCCCAATTTTTTTAGGGTTTCAATTTTATGATAAATTTTCTGACTAATTTTTCAAGAAATACATTGATAAAAATAAAAGTTTTATTAGGTAATTGTTTGTTAGAAAAAGGAGCACTAACTTAGATTATAGTTAACGTCTTAATGGTCAAAATACATTATTCTATGACTGTTAACCATTGATAGTCCTAACAATCCGGTAAACCTTTTAACCATTAGCCACCCCTAAAATCCAAAACGATAAACCGCTCAACCATTACCACCCTTAGCTATATGTTCAACCATTACCATCCCTAACAAACTGGTAACCGTTTTGCCATTGCCCCCCCCCCTAATAAACTACCGGTAAACCGCCATTGCCACCCCTAACCAACCGGTTAACCATTGCCCACCCTAACTCTACTCAATACTCATTTCAGGGTTCAACTGTGCAAAGAGAAGCGAGTGAGAAAGAAAAAACCAAGGAGTTTCCTACGTTTAAAGATAACGATTTTGTTAAAGATAACGTTAAGATCTACATGGATCAAGAAGCAAGAGAAAGCTTCCTAACCATGTTAAAAAGAGACGTCGAGGTAGGAACGGTTTGCTGTTATTACTGTAACAAGCAAAGGGTCTTGCCAACAATTTGTACGCTTCATATGCCGTATTTTCCAGCCAATAAGCGGACTCGGCGCATAGGCAGAGGTCAATCTTTAGCAATGAGGGTTTTTCCGTATTACCAAGGCAGAAAAAGTGTGTTACAATCTTTTGTTCTCTGTTTGTAGCAGCGGAGATATTTCGAGATTTACTGTGTGAGAACGCCGATTCATTCAAACTAATGGGGTTGGCACGTTATTGTTTCTCTTTTTCATTATTTTCTGGTCCAAAGCTAATAAGCTGACCCTAGAAAAACGTTTACAATCGGAGGCGCCAGATGAGCGGACCTCGATAATCAGGCCAAAAAATTGGCTTATAAGTTGGAAAATTCAGTATACGGGCAATTCCATGGAAATAGGGACAAACTAGAAAAAAATAAAAGTGATCAATCCCGCATAAACAACCAAAATTTTCATAGAATATATCTTGGAGTTTTGTGAACTTAATTTATAACAAACCTACAGGGACAAATCTTTATCTAAAAAAAGTACTGTAAAGTTTTTAGTTTTTTTTTAGCAATATACCATCTTCCTATAGATAGCTACAAATACATGTGTGCACATTTTTATTTATCAGGGTTGTATAAACTTTTCAATATTCAATGTCAAATTGTGTAACGCAAGTGACAATGTAACGTAAGTAACGATAGTAACGCAAGTAACGAAACAAGGGAAATCAAAATTTAATAAATCAAAAAGGTCTTAACCATGAAATATAATGGTTTTGGATATTTAGTTTTTATTTACCTCAGGTAATTCAAACATTGACCGATCAATCCTACTTTTTGTCATAACAATAACACACTTTAAATCGATAATGAATATCGGAATTGCCGTAGTTGAACATAATTTTGAGATTTATGGTATTTTTGGGAAGATGTTAGTCTTTTGATGATTTGATGTAAAACAATGGTCAATGGAAAATTGGCAAATCAATTTGGCAAATTACATTCTTATGAACCTATCACTTGAACAATTTAACAGAAATAAGTTAATTTTATAGTTATTCAATACCTCATCATATCTGGCAAGCTCAAATTGCAACTGTTGTGTGTGAGGTAGTGCTGTACAGCATTGCTTGAATCTTTCAGAGTTTAACAATGTTTTCATTCGTTTATTTTTTTGGCGAATATCATATAATTTAGCAATGTAAATTTAATGTGATTAAATGTTAACTTTTGACTAAATATAAGATGTTAAAAAAAAAACATAAAACACCCCAATTTTAACGTAACACATGTAAGAAGTAACGGCCCATTTTTACTTCAGACCGAAAGTTTTGAGATTTAGATCAAGAATATTCACCTAATTTTATAATATTTCACAACCTAAATATATTCTCCATTGACATGAGAAAAAGCGGTTGATTGGTGACAATATCTTATTCTTGAGATATGGGCCACATCAAAGTTCCACTACAGAAGCTTGTGTTCATTTTCGTAACAATTAACAGTTTTAATGGGTCTTCTGTGTGAAAGTAGTCCCTAGTATTTCCATCTCTATGGTGTCTATGTTACAGGTCCAAGGCCATCTACAACTAGAAACACCATTACTTAAATGCCAGTAATTGGCTTTAGGTTAAATCAGTTTGAAATATAAAAATTTGCCCAGATGTAACGAAAGTAACGCTGGAAATTCGAATTGCCTATTTTATTTGTAGAATTTATCATCTAGTCATGGATTTATTATTTAAAAATTTGAACTTACAGAAATTGAATGTCAAATATTGACTTAATATCAAACTTGCCATTAAAACAAAAATCGGACCATGATTGTAACGTAACGCAAGTAACAGACCATTTTTTGTTCCTACTGAAAATTTTACTATTCAGACAAAAGTTTTCATGATTTTACAACTGCACAATATTCTCTAGTGACATGGCAAAAAGTAGTTAGTTGGTGTTAATATCTTGAAATGGGGAGCATCTCAAAGTTTTACTAAAAAACACGTGTCCTTTTTCTGTAACGCAAGTAACGATGTTTCGTGGCATTCCTATGAGAAAGTAGTCCATGGTATCGCCACCTCTATGGTGTCTATGTTACAACCCTAATGCCATCTACAACTAATAACAATGTGACTTGAATACTTCTAATAGGTTTTAGGTTAAGTTAGTTTAAAATTTTAATATTTGCTCAGATGTAACGAAAGTAACGCTGGAATTGCCCATACGAGGTATATACGCATTGCTTGACTACCAGGATTTGACTAAAAAACAACTCTTTAATAATAGAATTTTTTTTACGAGACATTTTCAAACCTACACTCATACAAAGGCACCAGATAAGTAGTCACTAATGACTCTATATTTGTTACAGAGAATTTAGTTTGTCAAACCAAATTACTAGTTAACAAGTTTTATTTTCCTTGAATAGTTAGTTAGTGACCGGTTTCTGAGTTATTTTAGGTACGCCGGTACCGGTATTTAAATAGTTTTCATGGAATAAATGTGATTTTGAAATCTATAAAGGTCTAACGTCTTCATCAACATTTGACTGAGTGTGGCCAATAGCTTTTTATACTCTTCACAATGAGTTTATTCTTGCTTATACATGGCTAATAATAATCAGTCTGTCATATATACAAGGATAAATAACTGCAAAATATTAGTAAATTTTCGTTTTTTGCTATTACAATACCGGTATGGTACATAGACTAATTTATCACAAGCTAGAATAAGTGTCTGGAAAACTATTTCAAAATTTGATATTGATTACTAATGCTGGTATAATGTTACATTGCAACGATTTAAATGAAATATGATCCTGATGCCAATGTGATATGATTGTATATGGCTTTGTCTGTGTTGCAGACTTGATATTACATTTGAATCGAAGCTTAATTTGAATATAATATTAATGCGGTATTTTGTTAATAATATCTGCATGATTGAAAATGAAATGCTTGGAATTTTTTATAAATAGGGAAAATACAGTTTGACATTAGCTAACATGGATAATAAGCGTTCGGAAATCATTGATCATGCAGTGTGGAGTTCAAAGGTTCAAATTATTATGTTCGATAAGATAAAACATTTTTTAGTCACTGGGTAGTTCATTCGACTACTGATAAAATTCACCTTCCAACATATCTTTACAAAAAGTCAAGGATCATGTTTTGCTGTATGTATCAGATGTGTTTATGACCTGCAGAATAATTTCTAAAATTATACTAAATTTGGATTTTAAATTATGAAATTAATTTACTGTCGAATTAATATCGAGTTCAATTTGTATGTAAGAGAAATTTGTCTAAAATTTGACTTACGTTATTAATATTATCCATCCCTATTTATGTTATTAAAACTTATGTGGTATAAGTGTTTTCACAAGAGGAATTATTCTGCAAATTGTTATCAATAAACGCTGCTTGAATCATTTTATTTAACTTTCACACTTTTGACTTTTGATTACCATGCGTCAAACCGAGACTCTCTTCTGAGTAATGTTATTACAAGTTACTCATACTCATAATACAACTAAATATAGAGTAATGTGTCATATGCGGCTACCGCCGGTATTATGTGTCTTGATTATTTATATTTTCAGTAAAGACCGAGAGATTTGTAATTGGTGGCGATTTTATTGATTTTTGAAATTTCCAAACAATCTCATGTCAAATTCTGTCTACTGATACCCCTGCCAAAAGGATCTAATCAATCAATCAACACAAAAAATATGGCCAAATAAAACAAACAATCAAAGACTAACTTTAATTGTGTGACAGGAGTTGCGAGCAGCGACATCTGTAGCGCTGAAACAGATTAATGAATAAATTTGGTTGATGCAGATGCAGAAATTATTAAATTAGCCTATAATAAAGATCTCAGATTGTCATTGGTACTCTTTTCACTTTTAGTTGTCAACCTGTGATCTTGCATTGGCCCAATTTATATAGATATGGAATACATATATAAAATAAAAATGATTTTAAATATTTCAATATTATTTGCTGGAGTAAATGAGAATTGATTTGATTGTGTTATATATTATTCAATTTATCTCCTTAGTTAATGTAATGTATCCTACGTCATTGTTTGCAAATCCATAAACCTAATGAACTAGTTATAAGTGTATCTTGTGGATTTTTATGATCGTGTAGGTTGCGCAATCAGATATAACATTTTTGCCCTAAATCTTGGATCTAATTTCTTTGTTCATTGTGATTGTGTAATCGTTGTTGCGCAATCAAATTTAACCTTTGTATTTGATATTGTAGACCAATATGATATTTTAGAATGTATTTGGAAGCTTTTTTCCTTTAGTTTTAGTCAGTTGTTTTTGACTGGTGTTTGCTAGCGATTAAGATTTAAATACAGGCTACACTTGCAAGGCATAATATTTGATTTTTATCAAAATATTTAAAATCCGCAATCGAACCAATATTGTTCATTTGCAATCCAAAATATTGAGAAATATAAATCTTGGTATTGTTTCAAAACAAAGCTATTGGTATTTCCTGAATTGCAAACTTATTTTTAATTCTTTTTCATTTAATTGACTTCCTACGCCTGAATTCTTTTCCTGTTGCCAGTGTCTTAGTATTTATTGTTTTTGCCTGCGTTTTGACATTGTTTTGATGGCATAAGAATAATATAATAAAATTGAGAAGACATGGATTGAATGTGCAAACAGTCACGTTTTCAATAAATTCTGAAACACAGTTTATATTTCATGCCAAGTTCAAATTTTCATTTATTTATCTATGGCCAATCATAAAATTAAGTTATTTAGCAGTGGTCCATCTGTGAATTAGGCTACTGTATTCCTAAATTGCAAATTGGTATTATTAAGAATAACAAAATCTCTTTCATGAAATAGCAAGAATGTTTGTATTTTTTTTGGTTATAGTCTAACTTTTTAGAAAAAAAAGATATAACTTATTTTTTGTTGTATATAAATAGATTTGTCCAAAACAAAATTATGTTAGTTATTAGTTGGATGAGACAGCTTATCCTTCTTCTATTCCTTTATCTATATATAAAATGCTAGAATGCTGTCAGTAGCAAAAATAAAAAGTAATCTAAGAATCTTATGTTAGTATACAGCATGAATATTGAATAATTTAAAAAAATTATAATGAATACACAATTTTTCTTTGTAATATTTTATATAATGTAAATCATAACATCTCAACAAAATGGGAAATGCTGAATTCTATTAAATAAATTTTTTAGACATTAGTTACCAGGCTCATTGATAGTGAAATGCTTGCTAATAGAACACCTTGAATAATAAGTTGTGCATTTCCCGATTACTTGCAAATGGCTGGTCTGAAGTCTCGCCATTAACATTTGACATTTTAATACGTGTTCAAATACATTAAAGCAATACCTTAATCCTTATGCAACACATCTCAATCTGATAAAAGCATTCTATTGATCTATTTTTGTGTTCTTTTGTAAATGGAACCTGTCTTATGTAATGGGGGAATTGGATAATGAACCTCTCGTCAATGTTGTAACGGATTTAGTTACTGATGTTTTTTTTTGTACCTTACATTTAGAATTTTTTTTGATAAATTATATAAAAAGTAAACTATCTTCCTTTTTATTTCTGAGGCAATGTGTTTGAAATAATACTGGCCAGTGAAGCAGATAATACATTCGTTTTATTACTCATAGTTTACTAAGATTCATGTCTTGTCTGGATAAGTTGTCGATAACCGATTTAAAAGTTTACAATAAAATTTATCACATTTTTTGTATAATATAAATATTATATTATACGTATGTTATTATAATTAATATTCGAGCATTCTTGTGACCTCGGCGGTGTGGCGCATCGTGCTAAGTGTTAGGAATCCGATTACCCCAGCACCTCTGATAACCTTTTGAGAGGATTGCTGAACTCCTCGCTGCCGTAGAGTGGGTATGACCTTCTCCAGCATCCAATCCATGCTTCCGAAAACAAATAACTGGCTAACTAATCCCATACCCCGATATGGACTGGTAACCAGACGAGAGGCCGTGGTTCGCTTTATGTATGATTAAGCCGTCTTAGCGGCTTTCTCCCCCGGGATAAATATGTGAATCCTATCCTATTCTATCCTCCCTAAAATGATAGTAAACAAAGTTAAGAGAATGGTATTTCAGAAGTCCCCATCGATGTATTGTTTTAAATGCCCAAATTTCAACAGTTTTTAGTATGTTAATTTCTAATGATGCATGAGGTTTTCAATAAAAATTGTCAAAGAAAATATTCTCCTATTAGTAGTATGGATGTTTGTGATGACAAAATGAAATTGTTTTTAGTTTTTTTAGTTATCACAAATTTCTGTCTAATATGGTTTTAAGTTATAGCAGTATTGGGAAAATTACACCAAAAACAGTTCTCTGAAATTTCTCACACAAAAAAATGTCTCCCTCCACGCTGTATAATGTTGTGTTTATTGTTAATTCAGTACTCGCAAAGTATGCGTACCAGGTGAGGGTTAGGTCATAATTTGATTCCGATTTTCCTTATTTTTGTTCTATCACGAGTTCGGGGACTGTTTGTGTTAGCCAAGTGAATATACCCCTGCCAACCCTTTACACAACTCGGTGTAGAATATGTGAACAAAATTAGTTACTTCCATATTGGTACACACATGACTGGAGAACCGTTAATTCAAATTCATTTTTTTACACACCATGTATAGTAGTATATCCATATCTTTTGCTTTGCAGTTTCTGGCATCCCTGAAGTTGATGGACTATAGTTTACTGGTTGGCATTCACGATAGGGACAGAGAAGACAGATACAACGATAGAATTGAAGTTCCGGAAGATGCAGACACTTATAATAACGGACAAGATCCAGATTATAGTCCTGGAGAAGATGAAAATGGTTGGTGAATTATTTGTTGCAATAACATAGGTCAGTGTTTCTCAATGTATGGGTTACAGCCCAAAACTGGGTCGCCTGAAAATCTTTTTAGGGTTTTTTTAGTAAAAATCTGAAAGTTACTGATTTTATTCGTAGTAAATTTTATTGTTCATTTTATTTTTGGTATTGAAGTGTTGCTCGTTAGTATTTGTATACGGGGGAAATATCACAGCGCAAGGACAGGATAGCATATATTTTGCTTAAAACTATGCAATGGTTTCAATATTTCTAGAGCAAGTTTAAAAGTCCTGTTAAAATAAATCTTATGTAAAAATGATTGTTTTGTATTAGTAATTTATTTTTGGGGCAATAAACGCACTATATGCAATTCGGTACTGTGTGAGCCTATCGTTCGGTCGCGAGATTTTACGAAATTTTTTCAAACTATTTGGGTCATTTGAAAAAAGGGTTGGAAACCACTGATATAGATTATGCTAATATATATACATATATATAATGGTTTTTGAAGTCGCATTCAATTGGTATCATGCTTGAAACAGTTTGAAGTTGTCATGCTGATTGCTGGATTAATGTAGCGCAGCTCACTGGTAGTGAATTCTTATTAGTAGAAGTTGGCGAAAAATTTTGTTGGAAAGAGGATTTATTGGAAATGGATAAATAGACTTTTCATCTAATTTGGACATGGGGACTGAAGACTTCAGGGGGTTGAAGTTCAAATGAACATGGTTACATGGATCTAATATATGTTCAACAAGTCCAGAGAACCCATATTAGTTCCTGTAATTTCCTATATCTATTGTATAGTTCATCTTTTAAATCTGGAAATAATAGCAGCAATTATTTCTTTGTATAATGTAATTCAAAAAAATTACTAAGATTATGATGCAAAAATGAACAATTACCATCAAATGGGTCAAATTTTTTCTTCATGAATAATAGCACGAGATGAAGTCCAAAGATAATAGATTTTTGATGCAGTTCGGGTAGTTCAATTCTGAACTCCAAAAGCATGTATAAAGTGATTTTGGACATAAAAAAATCAGCAACAAAATTTTCATCAGCAAAAAATGCTGCATATATAAATAGGAAAAACAACTAATTTATGGGCATGGAAAATTCTGACATCTGTATCAGTTCACTTAAAAAAGGTCTGTCCTTTCCAACCTTATAGATTAAATCAATATCTGAGACTTTTCATTCAGAAAAAAATATTGGAAACCTCATGAAAAAACACAATAAACTCGTGATACTGATCTGTCATGATAAAATTCGAAACTGCTAAATTGATTGATGTTATCTGTACTCAGTCCAGACAAGATAGTAATCCGATATTTTCGCTTTGACTTTCCAAGTATCGTTGTTTACAAACGGAATTGCTTTTTTAAATATTTTGTATGATTCAAATATGAATCCCAATTATGTTTGTCTCTAAATTTCTAACATTTCTAATATTTTCATCTGTCAGGAGACTAAAAAATGATAAATTTTGAAATCTTTGGTATTTTTTATAATGATCTTTGCTTTGAACAAGGCTGTCTCGGCAAGAAGCACAGGCATTCATACACGGGGGAGCTATATTTCTGAATGTCGTGGCTCAACTAATTAATCAACCTTTTAGTGCAGTGGACAGCAGTACTCAAACCGTTTCATTTATTTCATTATTTACGTTCCATCCACATATTTTCAATGTGTAAACAAAACAGGTTACGTCTTACTATCTGTTATTTTTAGCTTATTGTTAGCTAGGTATTTTTAAGGTGGCGTGTGAAACTTGACGAATTCTAAAAGTGGCACGGCCTAAAAAATTTGGAGAACCACTGCTTTAGTGATGATGAACATGGTGCTCGAAATTAAAGATGTTCATTTAATGATAACAACTTAGTCAAAGCTTAACATGCTGACCCAAAGGTTTCCCAAACTTTTCAAACTTCTCGAACATTAACTTTCAGTAGTATACATCATGACACACATGATAAAATATTTGTCCTAATTAATGACATTAAATTACAACAAGAATAGGTTTTTGAAAGTATGCACATGATAGCATTGCGTAGGCTTGTCATTGTGAAATGAATCAATAGCACGAATTATTTTTTTTTTTAAATAAAAACATGTTATTTATAAGTAAAATTTCTGGGGAAACACGGTATGATATAAAAAATGTGCTAACCTATTGCACTTTGTATTAATCTCACTGCTAAAATTCGTCACAGTTTTCATACATTAAAACACAAAGTTTACGCAAATTTTAATATCTGATCAGGACTGCAGATTTTTAACAATATTCTAATGCAAATGTCAACTTTTAGTTAAGATTATTAACAGCCCATTTTTAATATGCTATTAAATTCTGTTGCTAAAATTTTTCTACGGCCCATGTATGATACACAACATGCATATCTAACCTGAAAAGGTCATTGCAAAGTGAGAAATTTCGGCCAGGTAAAGATATGACAGATGATAATGTCTCTGTTGGTTTGTCAATATTGAACTGATTGTAAGGTCGTATTTGCAGATCACAAAGGTCAGTTTATTGCTGCAATACTGATTAGAAATAGAATAGGCTGTGCTATTCTGGTTGCTGTAATGCATCAGACCTGACTGTAAGAAGGAAATGGGTTATAACTTGAATTGTTTAAATTTCTGAATTGATTTTGCAAGTTTATTTTTACACATAATTGGATAGTTATCTTGAATATTTCACAGCTCCGGAATAAAGTTTTTAAAATTCAAGAAAACAAGTTTTATGCTGACTCTTGTATTAATCCCCATTATCTGAAGCTGTATGTTTCTAGATTTCAATCTTTGAATTAAATTTGCAATTTCATTGAATTTGCGATTTACCTTTAACCATGCATATAGCTATTCAGAATATGGACCGAATTGATTGCTCTGAATTTCTGAGAAAAAATTTTTGTGCAGTCTTCAATTTGAATTGCAATTTTTTAATAATATATTTTAAGTTGAATTTTTTTACTTTTGCGTTGTTAGCTTATTAATACCTACTGGTACTCAAATTCTAAATTCTGCAGGATTATTATCGCACATTATCCATCAGTACCTCATTATTTCCTCTTGGGGCATCGAGAGGTGGTATATTTGAAAAAATACATATTCTAGGAGCCTGCCTTGAAGTCATCTGAATGAACTAAATGGATCTTGAAAAATCATGTGCTAGATTTTACTTTGATAAGTTTGGCACTAAATCATTATTCTAATGGAAGATTTTACATGAAATTAACTTTCATAACATTCTTAGTGACGATTAAACTTCCCTGCGGGACATTGTGGAAAGGATATTTGAAAAAAATAGAATAAAGTTTACTAAAGCTATTAAGAATCAATATTTTTCTCTCTATCTATTTCGTATATTTTTGCAACATTTACAACTAACTTCAGTAATTCAAGAGTCAAACGTTGTAGCTTTAACGTTACAGAAATATAATTGTGTTAGTGTGCAGCAATCACTCTTGAATCACTTGGGATAGTTATCTTTACTCTTACTACGACATCCTTGCATTATATTCATACGGATCCACCGGCACAAAAGCATAGAATACGGATAAGTAGTTAATCCAGCAGAAATCAAATCATTTACAACTAATCTGTTTAAACACTTAATTTTTGCAGGGTTACTTGCGACACCACCAGATTCCCCGGGAGCTCCTTTACGTCAAGATTCACAGGAGGATGATGTCGGTGATGTCTATAGATTTAACAGTGCAGAAAGTAAGTAGAGAAGATTTCATTCTTGTGGGAGAGGAGAGCTGATGAGGCTGCCTATTTTGAGTGGTGTGGAAGTTAATAAACCTTATGTTATAAAATTTGAGTTCAAACCAATTACATGGACATGATTACAGAAAATCTGAAAACATGCGCTTGAATGAATATTTTATAGAAACAATTTTAAAGTTTTTCCAGAATGTCATACTTTGTAACAAATTCTGAGTTAAGTGTTATTCGATTAAGGCTAGATTTTTGTCGTTTTCCAGTATTTTTCTTAATTTATATCCAATAAAAAATGGTTTTAAAATTTCAACAGTAGTGAAAATTCCATTAGGGGTGTCAAAATTATTTTCTAGCCTTATATATACCACCAGACTACTAAAATGCGTATTTTAAATTATTCAATTGTTGTTCAGATTCTCCTAAAAGCGTTATATATTTCATGGGATTGATTGATATTTTAACACATTATGATGCAAAGAAAAAAGCTGCTCACGCTGTCAAGACTGCTAAACATGGGGTAAGACCAAATATTTTTTAGTACTCATCCTTAAAAGTATTTGCAAAATATCACAGACGTTCTATCAGCCATACGTAGTCTTATCCTAGGACAGAGTTGATTTAGACACGATAGGCTTTCTACAGTTAGTGAATGCATAACAGGTAAGAAACAAACGATATATGTGATGCCACAATTTTAAATTTTTAGGATTTTATATACAGGATGTCCATAAAGTCCCTTCAGAATTTAAATTTTGGTATGAAGTCAGTTCTCAATGTATCTTAAACAGGTTTTGTTTTTTAATCAGTAATTGTTGGAGTGTTTTTACTTCATTTAATACGTCTGTGAGGACCAAAACAATATATGGTATCGATAAACTTTATGGACACCGTATATATACGGTGTATATAGTATAAGCAGTTTATTTTCACTTAGCTACCAACTTGAAAGCATTGAGTTAGTTGTTTTCCAAATGTAGTTGTCACAAATATCTGATGTATTTCATGTTTCACCACTCAAAAAAAAAATTGTGATATTTAGTTTTTTATTCACAGTTTGGAGCAGATTTTTCAGTGAAAAGTCCACGAGTTTATGCACACAGACTATTACAGTTCTTAGAAAACCATACATTAATTGTAAAAGCCCCATCTTTGTATGACCTAACCCCCGTAAATCCAGACCCAACAACATCAACCAAACCTTATGTAAAACAAGTGGTAATATACTCTAACCCTGAAAATGAGAGTGGGACCCCAGTTGATGTTCTTAACCCCTCTGCACGCTTATCGCGAGCTTCTGTAGTCGAGACGACGTCGTCAGCAACATTAACAAGGTTTTGCTATAGCAATGAGGAACTTAGGCTCCATAGTGATATGTCTGGAAATAGCTCAAGTGCAAGAGAGTTAGACAGAATTTCTCTCAATTTTACTTTGTGAGGGGTCGAAGGTCAGGTGAAGGAAGAAGGAAATGCAAGTCTGAGTAGGTAGTTTATTGTTTGAGTGTGAGGTTTCTTTTTATCATTGGAAAGTGTGAGTGGTTGTGACAAGACAATCTAACTGTATGAAAACTCCGAAGCTTTCCCTCTTAGATTGTAGGTGTTGGTCATTGTATTATGCGCAAAGAATGAATTGTTTTTAGATTTTGAGTTGGTCCAAGACTAAAATGACAGTAGATGAGACGTGAATGATTCTTAAATAGAATTAATCATTGTGAGTTGTGACAATAACTCCAGTTGGTATGAGTTGACACAAGGCTAGTAGTACTCAGGGTGTATACTGACAAGAAACAGTTATGTGAAAGAAAATTTCTCATTATTTTATGCAGTTTGTATATCGAGCCACCCTAGACTAGAGGTTCTTACACTTTTAGTGTTATGGAGCCCACGAAGAAAGAGGTCATTATGAAAAAAATTTATAAAAATTATCTATTGGAACTTACCGATAATGTCATATTTGAATTACTGCCTTGACATATCCCGACGCTATCTTGTCAAATTTTATTAATGCTGTTATTGCTTCTTTTTTAGTTACACACTTAGCCAAGGCAGTTCTTTAATAAGTAAACAAATATCTGGCGAGGCCCTTAGGGTTTTCTCATGGAGCTAGACTATTACTATGACAACAGACGACCGCCGTTATGTAGGTATCTGCTAGTTTTGAAAGGACTGGAAATTTTTCTAGTTCAGCACCCAATTCATTGCATTACTTGAAAGATGTTAGGCGTGTTGTTTCATCCTGAGATTTATGTGACACGAATGACCTACGACCTCCATCACTACCCACAAATTGCAAAAGTATATTCCAAAGGCTTTTCAAAAGATCACTCTAAAAAAGCCTATAACAATGATTACTTTGCTCTGACAAAATCAAACGCAGTACTAACAAAACATCACAAGTCATTGCATTTCTCCGAGAAAACAGTATTCCGAACCTAATGGGCTTATTCCATTATACAATTACAATTTGTAATAATATTCATCAAATTCTTTTTTTTTACAGTCTGGAGCAGAAATCTCTACTGTGAAGCCATTTCAATATTCAAAAAGATTTTTAGAATTTATTAACGAACATATGATTACGCCCGATTCCCAGTCCAACGCTAACGCTGCTCAAGCCGCCGGGGAATCAAGCTCGTGAAAATTATATCCAATCATATCCAGAAACATTACTTTAGTTCGAGAATTGAGTTACCGTTTCATACATGCTTACTATTTACTCAGCTAAGAAATTACTGTTATGGAAATCAGGGACGCCCAAAATATTCAAATCAATTTGGGATTCTCAGTTTTGATATGGTAAATTCTAGACCAGTGGTTCTCAAACTTTTTAAGCCGCTTTTTTATAAATTTTCAAGTCTTGTGAAAAAAGTAACTAGCTAACAATAAGCTACAAATAACTCTCTACTAAAGATACAAGCACAACAGCTCTCTGCGATCTCAAACAATAAAGAAATGTAAATATCCAAAATAAGGCTGGCAAGATCGAATCTAACAAATATTTTTATTTTTGTTATTTTCACGCCCACTCAAAATATTGTCTACGCCCCGCCCCCCCAAAAGTGGGCCTTGCGTTTGAAAACCACTGTTCTAGACTTTAGGAATATTTAAAAACGTTCCATGTGTAGCATTGTCTTGTCCTGCAATTAATATATTTGAATTGATTATGAATTACTTATTACCGAAATTGTTAATCCTCGATTTTCAAAATAATTTTAAACGTGTCGTAAGAAAAATTGTCATTCTGAGCAATTGAATAATCGTAGTGAGGCCAAAAAAGCTTTCTTGTACTTTCCGAAAAATAAAGAAATATGGAGTCGATTGAATAATTGTTTTAACACTATTTCCCAATTCAAACTCATTGAATGTATATTGACTTTTACATGTTTTTTGTTAAATATGCCCAATTCAAATGTACTGATTTTTAATATTTAAAAATATTATTTAAAAATGTATCTGGAAAGTAAATTATACTATTTTGCCATCGCCAATTTGAAACTAGATCAAGGATCAATTGTCTTGAGTTTTTAATCAGGATTTATTTCGCCAATTTGCTTGACTGTCTATTTCAATTTTACCTGTGTTGATTTTCAGTATCAAAATAGCCATTGAGTTAGATTGTCACAAATATGCTTTGACCATGATAACTAGAATCGTTTTATCACGAAGTTGATGGGACAAATTCCGCTACGCTAATTTTCTGTAAAAATGACAAAAAAGTTGCATCAATATTTGGGCAACAGTATTTAGAATGTATAAATCTGAAATTCTCATATACTAAGTCATGAAGTTGAATGTGTTAGAGATATTGAATGTACTTCTTCATTAATTCCCTGTGGTGTCCGAATTGAAATTGGCTTCAGTATTTGAAATGTAGATTGAAATTTTATTATGAAACTTGTTATCTTTGCAACAAAATCATGCTTCATTCAGACTGTGCTAAAGACACTGATAAATTGCTTGGTGGTTGCAACCTTTTTTGATATAGGCTACCAGTACTCCACTTTTGGATCTCTTTTTCAAACATTCAAACTCCATTTTCCGTTATTTGTTCAAGCCAATGGATAATTAGCTAGTGTTACACGCAACTTGGACATAAATGTGTATTGCAATAACTAAACAATACTAGTGGAAGGACTGCATTTTCTTCCTTGGGAGGAATTTCTTTTTGACAATAATATACAAATTCATTATCACTTTTAAAACCTTATTATTAGTCATAATTCCTTTTATTTTCACATTCATAACATGTTCTAATGAAAATAGTCACGAAAATCAGACTACCGCTGTTATTATTGAAGGAGTGCCAATGGTTTCTTTTTGATGATATCATGTTGCTGTTATAATGTACTGTTGACTGTCAATTCATATTGCTTGATTGTGTATACTCCATAATGAATACTTTCTTCTTATCAAAACCATGTTAGTACTATGAGAAGAAACAATCAAGCTAGTAAAATTAGTGAAAAGTAGGCATTGAAGTGTGATTGGTCAGAATAATTTTATTCATCTGGCATTGAAGCGTAACTATTCAGAATACTTTTTCGTTGGCCATTAAAGTGTGACTGGTCAGAATAATTTTATTCCTCTGGCATTGAAGCGTAACTAGTCAGAATACTTTTATTCGTTGGCCATCAAAGTGTGACTGGTCAGAATAACTTTATTCTTCAGGCATTAAAGTGTGACTGGTCAGAATAATTTAATTCCTCTGGCATTGAAGCGTAACTAGTCAGAATACTTTTATTCGTTGGCCATTAAAGTGTGACTGGTCAGAATAATTTTATTCCTCTGGCATTGAAGCGTAACTAGTCAGAATACTTTTATTCCTCACCAAGAGAGCTGATAACGCTTCACCAATTCCATATCTTAAATCTTGTAAATTATCTTATATATACAGTCAGGCATGGCATATATAAATTTAAGCTTTCAAAGCACGATATATATGGTGATTTATTTTTTCTTGCCTGGCATGTTCATGGTTTCAGAGTTAACTCGTTTTGACTTTGTTGCTCTGTTTTATTATCTGGAAAGTCATTATATTATTCCATGCTTTCTCACCTACTCAGTTCAAAATGTAGTTTTATGCAGTCGAAAATTGGTTTCGTTGAATTCGTTGTCGATGTTGTGCAGGGTTGTTGAATATTATGTTTGATAATATTTAAAAATACTCTTTTCAATGCAAAACTGTTTTGAATAAGTGAGCTCGCATTACTATGACTGCCCTACTCCAGGCTATTTGAAATGAAAAGTCAGGAAAGAATAGAAATATTACAAAGATCCAACAAAATAGTGTTATGGTGTCTAATAGTTGCTTATTTCTTACTTTTACTGTTCCCTAATAACGTTTTTCTTCTGGTCAAATTCAAAAGATTGTCTTAAACTCTGTACTCGACGCCTGCACACTCAATAACAGTTTAACAAATTCAATTTTCGGCTGAATTTTGTTGATCTTTGTATTATGATTGTATTTTTCCTACATTGTACTTTAATCGCGATTTATTTTCACTTCATTTTCCTTCTGTAAAAATTACTCGTTAATGTGAATTTACATCCTGTAATGTAGGTTGACTACCCTGAATAATTTAAAATTAATTATATAAGAATGTATTTAAAAGAAATATCTAAAGCGTTTCAAAATAATATGTTCATACTCACTTTGAAACAGGATCTAGATCAGTGGTTTCCAAATCGAGAACCGGTCCACTTACCGATTTAATATGGCCCGCCAAACTTAGTGAAATATTTTTTCATTTTGCGTTTTAGATACCGCAAATTGATAAGTCATTATCCTAGTTTAGGTATGTGTATATCCGTAACAATTCAATTATACTACCAGTATCGTCTGCTTGCAGGCGCTCTCTTCTGGCCCGCCAATATCCTTCCACTTCTAATTTTGGCCCCTGTCAATCAACTTTGGGAACCACTGCTCTAGATAAATAGGCATTGAGGATTTAAATAATTTAATCTTTGACATAGAACTATATAATCAATTTTCAAATTTTTGATGAAGTTCAATGAATCAGTAGATAACTGGAGAAATCGAGCATCAAAATTGAAAAACACTAGTTTAAAAAAAAACATTGCATTAGGATATACAGGGTGTCCCAAAATAAATAAAACCCATTGATTTGATTACCAATTTTGTGCGTTTCATTTATTTTGGAACACTCTTTATGAGGACTTTAATTAACAGAGCTTTTCCAGTAAGCCCCAAATAAGCTACTATTGACCGGTAAAAACATTATTAATGGATACACTACATATATTTGCTATTAGAACGGCCTGTCTTTGATCAAACTTCATAAAACAATTGAATACATTTAGGTTGCCAGGATATGATTTTCAAATGTCATTACTCATTTTAAATCACTCTGATGAAGGATCTTTGGGGTTTTCTGTCTCACAATAGTCAACGAGAGTCTGATTTTTTCAATTTAAAATTATGTGTAGGCTTTGTAAGGTGGCTTTATATTTTGCTTATACTGAAAGTTATCAATGCTGCTTATAGATAGGTTATGTAGACTTACAAAAGATAGTGTTTTAAATTTATCCTAGGAAAATGTTTTATAATATGTTGGATGCCTATGCTCTAGGATGATTATGTTTGCTTTTAGCCTCTGACCTGCATTCAATGAGTTACAAAATTTGATTTGAAGCTTCTGAAATAGGTTCGCATGCTTACTTTGTGTGCACAATAGCAATTTTGAACACTGAAAGATTGAGAAATTAGTTAAATTTACTATATAAAATAAGTGAAAACATCCTTTTTTTCTTGCATTACTGGCATGATATATTTCATTCGCATCTCCGACACTACAGATTCAATATTGTCGTACTTATGCTTGCATTGCCTATGTGTTCTAACTTTTTAAATCGTACTAATCGTATTCTTGAAATGATTAAGCTTGTTATGTGTACTGTCATCCGATGTCAATACCTGTAGATTTTGTAATCAATTTTACATGAAGAAATTTTTTTCATAAATATATATGAGTAACCATGCTTTGTGCTTGTCCTAAAGCTTTTCAATTTTGCTTTGCTGATTTTTTTATTTTTTGCATTCATAGATCAAGAGACTGAGAAATTTTGTTAGTTTGTCATAAATTTACCCACATCATTCAAGGAATCCTTTACTTGTTGGCTTCCTCTGTCATTTGATTGAAAATCAAATTCTCTATTTCTATTTCAACAATCCAGTCTGCACCTAAAAATGTATAGCCATTCAATGCAAAAGAAATATTTTGTCAATTTTTAAGTTATTTCGACACACCAATTAGAGTCAATCTACTGTATGATAAAGTTGATCTTCTCTATCTGGATATATTAAAAATATTTTTAAAAACCTGAAATTTTCTAACTCTAAAGTAATGTGTTGTTTATTATTGTTATTCTTGGCTTTATGTTGGTAAACTGGCCATTTAATTATCTATGACATATCCAAGGCCGATTATAACTGCTTGATTAAAATATTTTATGATTATAAATGCTGCCTGTGTTCCTATAACGGTTGTAATAAATCTTATTTCATCCTATGAAAAACGGGGATTTCTTTGATTGTGTGGACCTTGTGAATACAAAGAACCGATGTAGTAGTTCAGTTTAGGGTCGATATATTAGTATTAGTTTAAGATATATACCACTAGAACAGACATGGGCAAATTACGGCCCGCGGACTAAATCCGGCCCGTTGGGTAATTCAATCTGGCCCGCCTGATGCTGCCACAACCAAACTGAAATCAAATGTTGATGTTTCAGCTGTTTCTAGCTCAAGCAATTTGTTGAGATTGCGGTTGAATTTAGTTTGGGCACGAGGATTATGGTTTTCCACTTTTGCTTTGCAACACTGAAAATATTTTCATAAAATGTAACTTTTTACGTCACACTTACATGGCCCGTCATCCTAAGTGGGCGAAATTTTCGGCCCCTGGTTCAAAACCCTCGCCCACCCCTGCACTTACATGTACGGCTTCTCGTATCATGGGAGGTACGGTAATGTATATACAACGATACCTTGAACTGGTCAAATGTTTATAGACACTTTGGAACTGGTAACCGGACGGAAGACTTGATTTGTTACATATGGGAGACTGGGATTTCTTTGATTGCGTGGACCTCGGTAATGCGAAGTACCAATACGGGCTCGACATCAGCTCAATCGCAAGAATACTCGCGGGTCCTGCTATACCACACACATGGTGCAATGAACCGCTCATATATGAACACCCGCGTCGAACTGTTAAGCATGCGAGAGACTTTGGTTTTTCGCTACATAGCGTTCTGTGGAGTTCAGAGAAGAGCGCCCGAGTGGTGTGGTAGTAGCCTACTCGGATGTTTTTATCGAAGCGTTGGTCGTAATTTCAAACGCGAAGCAAAAGCGGGAGTGAGACTAAAGTCGAATTTGACATTCGCTAGCAGGTTTCGGTTTGAACATTTTCATAGCCTAGAGGCCCTAGATCAGTGTTTCCCAGCCTTTTATTCAATATATTATTCGCTTTAACAAATTTCAATCTCTTTATTCCTCCCTCGCTATGTCAAAAACTCTGTTTTCGTTATTCGTTTATTTAATATTAAAGACTAGCTAGCAGGTGTTACGCACAACTGGCACTCTGGCTTTTACATAGTTTGAATTATGTTTGTAATAATATATATAAAAATAACTACAAAACGTAAAAAAACTACACGCAAATACAAGGTAGTATTTCTATATCTCCTCCCTGAAAACAACGTTGGTCTCTAGACCTGACATGGGCAAACTACGTCCCGCGGGTCAAATCCGGCCCATTGGGTGTTTCAATCTGGCCCGCCTGATGCTGCCATAAATTTATGTTTTAACCGCATTCTGCATTCACGTTATAGGGGTGAGTATTTTGCTTAGTTTCATGATTCAAATATTAATAATGTAAATATTTTACTCTTACTTGACCTCTGATATATTTATTCTCATGTATAACAGCATCTATAATTTGGTAATTCCCAAATTATTTTTGGAGTTGGATATCATTAACAGAAACTCGCGCCGGGCAGCCGAAAAGTTTGACACGCCCCTGCTTGTTAGATAATGCTCGTAGTCTCATGATAATATTTCTTGGTGCTACAATACTGTACTAGATGTTATATCCCGCTAATTCTGAACGTAAGCCGTATTGGACAAAATGGAATAAAAGTATGTCAGATCTGAATTTGTGGAAATACCTGAACAACGACACCACACGATACGCGGAACGGACGAAATTCGCAGTCGGACCATTGGAGGTTGAATTCTCGACCCAAGCAAGAGCTTCAAACAAAGCTAACAATATTTGAAATGGCATCCCAAAAGGATCCTCATAGAAGTGTCTTGATATCCCACCTAATCGATAAGATGAGATCCAACAGAGCTTTGGCGTTCGCAACAGGCTGTCTAGCTTGAGGTTGATGTTCTTGCTGATTTTACATTGAAACTTCGGTGAAATATGTTTTACAAAAATATAGTAATAACTAGAAAAACTAATGTAACGCCAGCACTTTGTGGAACGTTATGTCAAGTATACAATTACAGCCGTTTGAAATTTCAACGCGGTCGAAGTTGAATTACGAACTTTCCTGAGACGTAAATCAGTCAAATGTGTATGACCTGACACACATCATACGTTTGGATCCTGGTCGATAGAGTCGCTAGAGGTCCACATAGTTGGATGGTTTTATTGTGAAGTGGGGGTGATATTGCTCGGTTATCAGTTAATCGTTACTGGTGGAAAAATCTGTAGTCGGAGAAAAAGCAAGTGTGTGAACAGACTTGTTTATGATATTAACCTCATATACAGGTTCACTAAGAAGTATGTCATCGTTCGTTACTCCGAAAATGAATGCATGCACTAAGTCTTTCACGCGTAAAATTTTTGCGCCTCAGAAGACGTATCTTTATTAGAGATGTACCGATGTATCGGTATCGGGTATCGGTATCGGCAATATCGGCCATTTTTTCGGTATCGGCCATGTATCGGTATCGGTTAGATTAAGGCCGATATTCCCGATATATTTACCTTTTTGATATGGTCCAGAATGTTTTAAAAGATAAGTTGGAATACTACTTTTCAATTTATTTTTGTCTGGAGAGATCGTGAGCTATGAGCCATAAATGTCCCCACCCCCGCGAGAGAATAGGATTCACGTGTTTTTAGCTATTTATCAGTCAAACTAGCTCAACTAATTTGGCTATTTTCGCTGTCAAATTTTCATATTGGCATTTTTAATATTACATAGTTTTTATGAAGAAATATATCAACACAGCACATAACAAAAAGCAACTAGGCGCCCAGTTTTAAATCATACAGTGGAATTGGGGTCCTTCCTTATTAACGGCACATGGACTTTTGGCACGGTTATAAATTCTGACTGTTTGTCGTCAAGTACGAGTGTCATTTAGTCCGTCGACATCGATAAACTAAATTCCGACACAATTATCCCACTACACAGGTATTAATCTTAATTTTGCTTAACTACACGATTTCTTTATAGATATATTGACTTGACCGCCTAGCCCTAGACTGTCTCAAAATATATGATAGCAATTGTAAAATATTATAAAATAGTGAAGTAAAAAAACATCCTCCACGGTTATCGGTGGGCCTTCTTTTTGTCGATGCTGATTGATATTCTTTCATGTTGGCTTTGACTTATTGCGTCGACGATTACGATTAGCCACTAAATAAAATATTTGT